ATTAGCCATATTAATGCATTAATGGCGAATTCTCTTCGCTAACATACTTAATATAAGTATTAACCTACTAACAATCCACTGAATGATGCGATATTTATGTATAAAATTGTTGTCAGATGGATCTGGTGTATTTTTAGAGCAGCTAGTTTTGATTTTAAAGGAAAAAATTACAGCCAGACGATGAGGACATGAAGTTCTTGAAAGTACTTGCTGCTAGTTTAATGCTTATATTAAGTGTGTTGTTGAAGAGATTTCGCCATTAATTGCATTAATATTGCTAATTGATTCAATGTATGATTATCTTTTTATATATATATATATATATATATATATATATATATATATATATATATATATATATATAATGTCATCCTAATACAGGCCTGTTTCGCTGTATCACAGTTTATCAGCGAGGCTAGATATCCAATATAGATAGATAGATAGATAGATAGATAGATAGATAGATAGATAGATGAAAAAAGTCAAAATTTAATAATAATGAAAATGACTTCTCGATAAAAGACTTACAATATTACATTCTGAATTGTATTCTTAGATGCCACGGCATTAGAATTTAGTCAAAGTCCCAGGTGCCATTACGTGGGCTCGAACTTGGATCAACTACATACATACTCTTTACTAGAGAGTTATGTCAAACTCTCACATGGGCGTTAGAACGTAAGCCGACAAGTGGACGGGATAACTAAAGCCGGAAGCGGTGTAATAGAAATGCAGGAAGGAAAATGAAGAAACGATAAAACATGGATGAATATCCTACGACGAGAATGTGAAGGAACCGAAAATAGAAGAGATAGAGGGAGAGAATTAAAAGAAGGCAGAGAAGTAATGAAAGAAAAGAGAATATTGATAGTTGGGTGGAGACAGGAGAGGGAAAGACAGAGAGAGAGAGAGAGAGAAGGTGAGGTGGGCAGAAAGAAAGAGAACGGCGGTCAATTCTCTCTTCCGTCGCCAGTGTTTCAGATCAAGCCAACAGTCGGTAACTAATATGATTTGCTAGATAACAGGACGAGCAGCTCAAACTACTTAAGATGAGCAAACCGTCTCTCGTTGGTGAGATCCTGTTCCACACGAGATGTGATTATCATCTGTGATAAATCCAAATTCTTGGACACTGCATTGGAACAATTCACTTCGCAGACGGACCATTCAACCCTTCTCTCATTTCTCTCATCTTTCTCCCCTTTTTTCTGATTCTTCTTTTCAAAATCTTAATCTTTCTTTCTTTCTTTTTTCTTTCTTTCTTTCATTTAAGACGCTGGGGTTGGTTCATCATCTTTCTCTTTTCTTCTATGATGCTGGTATTAATTTTTTTTTTTTCTTTGTTCTGTGACGCTAGCATTAATTATTTCTCTTTCTTTTTTTCTCTGATATCGGCATTATTACTTTCTCTTAATTCTTCCTACTGCTTTTCGATCATTCTTTTTTTCTTTCTTTCTTCCTTTTTTCTTTCTTTTTCTTTCTTTCTTTCTTTCTTTCTTTTGTGATGCTGATTATTACTTCTTCCTTCCCGATTTTCCGATTTTTACTTTCTTTCTTCTGTTATTAATTATTCTTTTGTCTTCTTTCTTTCTTACTTGCTTTTAACTGGTTCTTATCATTCCTTTTTTATCTCATTGATTAATTCCGCTTTTTGTTGTTGTCTGTATTCGCCTTTATATGCAATTCACCGGAACATCCCTCCACCAAAAATAAAAGCTGAAATGAAATTCACCTTAGAAGCTTTTGAGAAACAGAATGTTGACAGTGACATCAAAAAGTAAAACTCACAAACACGCACACAGATACACACACATATCAATCTCTCTTCCTCTCCTATCTCTCTCTCTCTCTCTCTCTATCTATCTATCTATCTATCTCTCTCTCTCTATATATATATATGTTTGTATATGCACATTTCATTGAATACGACAAACAAGGTGATTTTATTTAGTTTTTTATACAATTTCTCATGCGATCTAATATTTTTTTCTTTTCGGATGACAAATTATATAAAAACTGTCCGAATGTTCTTTTTATCCGAGCGCTTTTGGCTATACATTTAGCCATTTTCAAGGATTAAATAATTAATTAAGAAATAGTTTGTTGTATGTATGTTTTATAAAATGTTTTCATTTTTCAAAACACGGTCAAGATATTGTTTCCATGTTCAAATTTAATATTATTAAGCATTGCTTTTTTTGTTTTGTTTTTATCAATAAGACATTATTTTTAGCCTTTTTTGCATGTAATTGATGCTATTAGTGTTTGCTATTAGTGTTGTCAACAAGTATGTTACGAATAGTGTCCGGTAGGTTTCCATGAATATTTAAATGAGATCTAATTGAGCTATTTTCCTCCAACACGAACATTTCAGAGTGTTTGGGTGTCAATCTGAGGACAGTGCAGAGGATGAGTTGGATGAGTCTAATGGTGATTACGAAGGTGTTTGTAGTGATCACTGGTGATGGCGACGTTATGTCGCCATTCATCTTCCTACACTACCTCAGATTCAACAAGGAGGCCTACGCCAAGTGCCTTGAGGAATTAGTGCTACCCTGGGTCAAGAGGGTGGCTGCTGCCAGACAATTTATGCGATCACATCACCCCTTACACCTGGCCCCCTAACTGCACAGACTGCAACCCCCTTGATTATCATGTGTGGAGCGCAGTTGAGCGAGAGACCAACAAAACTTCTTGTAATGCCAAAGATGAACTGAAGACAAGGATTATGGCAGCTTTCACCATTTAAAACAAGGAGCACGTACAGAAGAGTTTGCAGGAGATTCCAAAGTTGTCTGGCGGACGTGGATGAAGCGTGAATGTCCGAAATTTTTTTATAGAAAATATGCGTCCTACGACAGGTATCGAACCTGTATCCTATACGGAACCGTCATATAGTCTGATGTGCTTTACCGATTGAGCCACAGAGGAACGTTTCGGTTAGCAAGGTCGATTTTACTGTTTTAAACTACAATTTTCCATGATTTTCTCGGACATTCAGGCCGGTAAATGCTGTTAATATTGTTTATTATAAACAGAGCATTTACTTAAATATTTGTATCTCTAAAAAGAAGGTATAAACATAAAAAATGTCTTAAAATAATTATCGGACTTTGTCCATTTCATAATGTGTGACGTCATTTGTTTACATTTGGCTACGCATCGAGCAGATATGAATGCGAGAAAATTATGGAGTATTGCAGTTCTAAAAACAGTAAAATCGACCTTGCTAACCGAAAGGCTCCTATGTGGCCAAAGCACGTCAGGCTATATGACGGTTCCGTATAGGATACAGGTTCGATTCCTGTCGGAGGACGCATGTTTTCTATGAAAATTTCTCGGACATTCAGGCCGGTAAATGTTGTTAATACTGTTTATTATAAACAGAGCATTTACTTAAATATTTGTATCTATATAAAGAACGTATAAACATAAAAAATGTCTTAAAATAACTGTCGGACTTTGTCCGTTTCATAATAATAATGAAGTATATATATATATATATATATATATTGAATGCAACAGACTAAATAGGAATTTGAACTTGTCTCTCTAATTTCACTTTCAGCCCGATGGCCGTTACGCTAACCTCAGGCACACACACACATATGCGCGTGCACGCATGCACGCACACGTGATACGCACGCGCGTACAGACACACACACAAACACACACAAACACACACACACACACACACACACTGATACCGATATGTAAAATATAATGAAAATAATCCCGAAGTTCGTAAACTGGTGTTCTATCAATTAAGTGCTCTTACAAATTTAAAAAAAATTACGTTCAAAGAAATTACGTCGTATGATCATATTTTGTTTTGGCTTCTGTAGTTGTGGTGGTGGAGTGTGTGGTGAGAGAGAGAGAGAGAGAGAGAGCAGGTGAGAGGGAGAAAGAGAATTTTCTAACAGAGTGCGTGATCAATGTTTTTACCCCAGACTAAAGCCGAGATTTCGCCTGCTGATTTTAAAGGCTTCCCTCTTAACTTCCCGACATACACTTCCGGCTGTTTTCCCCTTCCGACATTTTGTTTGACTCTAAACTTAGTAAATGTCTCTCTTCCCTCACCTTCGGAGTTTTTATTTTCCCTGTTTTTCTCTCTGTCTTGTTCAACTGAAGATGGGGAAAATAACACGAACGAAAATGCTACAAAAAAACAGACAGACCTTGACAGTTTATAACTCTACGCTGTGAGTAAATTGAAATGGAAGTGAAACATTTAATTTAAAGTGCCATGAAAGCAATGAGCGTAAATGATATTTGCTAATAATATTTAATAAAAGGTGTACTAGACAAGAAACAAAAGAGATAGATAGATAGATAGATAGATAGATAGATAGATAGATAGATAGATAGATAGATATATATATATATATATATATATATATATATATATATATATATATATATATATATATATATATATAGCGGCCTTTCAGTATCTGTCTATATTTCTGACATGAGGTATTATGTACACTATTTACATTATTCGGACTATTGTCCTCATCTTTGTCGCTTGTCGCCATATTTATTACAACATTTCGGCCCTTCATTATCTGTCGATATTTCTGAGATGAGGTATTATGTACACTATTTACATTATTCGGACTATTGTCCTCATCTTTGTCGCCATATTTATTACAACGTTTCGGCACGTGGAACTAGAATAGTCTACCCCAGTGAGCGAAATAAAGGATTCAGTTCGACATTCCAACCACCTGAAGAAGGCCGGAGCGTACAACGACCGAAACGTTGTAATAAATATGGCGACAAATATGAGGACAAAAGTCCGAATAATGTAAATAGTGTACGAAAAATGAAACAATGAAAAAGAAAAATAGAAGGGTAAATTCGATAATTAAAAAATAGATTAGAACGATAAAACAAGCGAATTCGAGAAAACTTTGATGAAAAATTTGGATTAAAATTTTTTCAAACAAACATCGAGATGCATTGAAAAGATGGAAGATAATTTGAAGTGAGGGAAGTCAAAGAGAGAAAACAGAGAGATGAAGAGAGAGGACGGGGAAGAGAGAAAAGGAGAGAGAGAGAGAGAGAGAGAGAGGAAGAATAAGGAGAGAAAGGGTCCTTAGAAATGATATAGGAATGTGAAAAAGATAAACAAACAATACAAACGATAAAAAGAGGTAAACTAAAAACAAACATAAAGAGAAAAAGGGGGAGAGAAAAAGAGTGATAGAGAGAGACATTAAGGAAAAGAGATTGAATGAGATGAGACGGACTAACTGAGAAAGAAAAGCCAGGAAAAAATACTGGATTTAAAAAAAGAAATTTCAATATGAAAGAAAGTAAGAAAAAAAGAGAGAGAAAAAAAAGAAAGGGTGAAATCAAAGAGAGAAAGGAATAGAAGTTAAACAAAAAAAGGAAAAAATACAGTGAAAAAGAGGGGAAAGTAAATAAAATATAAAATTAAAAGGGAACTTGGAAATAAAACAGTAAGTAAATAAAAATAAGGAAGAGAGATGGGGTAGAGTAGAAGTGGGGGGAGACAAGTGGAGAAGACAAAATGACGACGAAAAGAAGCAAATATATATTTAAGAAGTTTTGAAGCTGCACAATAAAGCAAACAGAATGAAGAGAGAAAAACAAAGAAAAGAAAGAAGAAAAGGAATATCGGTAATGAAAAGGAAAGAAGAGAAAATAAAATAAATGAAAAACTCCAAAAGAAAATAAAAATAATTTTAAGAAACATGGAATATGAAACAAAGAGGGAAGCAGCCATTTTCTTTTTTCTTTCATGTTTTAATAAGAAATGAAAAAAGAAAATAAACGAAAGAAAGCAAAAAAAGAAAGAAAGAAAACGAAGAGAAACAAGCATTAACTAAGAGGAATAAAAAGAAAGAGAAGATTGATATTGAAAAATAGAACGAAAAGAAAAAAAGAAAGGAAAAGAAAAACAAAACACAAAAAATAAAATACAGAAAATATTAGGAGATATACAAAATGAAAGAGATAAAGAAAAGCGATGCGAAAAAATAAATTTAAAATGATCGAAAAAGGAATAAAAAGAAAAATTCAAATGAAGGAGAAATCGGTGAAAAAGAAGCAAAGAATGAAAAAGAAAGTAAGAAAAATTATGAAAAAACAAATGTGAAAAAATAAAAGCCGGAAGTAGAAAGAAGGAACCGGAAGGAGAAAATAACAAGAAAAAGGAAAAAGAACAATTTGAAAGAAAGAAAGAAAAATAATGTTAGGAAACAATGAAAAAATAAATAAATAAAAAAAAAAAGAACGAAAGAAAGATAAAGAAAGAGAAAATATTAAGCAAGAATGAAGAAAGAATAAGACAAAAATAAAAATAATAAAGAAAAATGGGAAAAATGATAACAGAAAGAAAAAATAAAATAAAGATGAATGAAAAAAGATAAAAAGTAAAAGAATCTATGAAAAGAGAAAAGAAAAAAAAGAAAAGAGAAAATAAAAGAGAAAAAGGAGAAAAAGTAAACGGGAAATAATAATTAAGAAAAGAAGGATAGAAAGAACAAAAAATAACGAAGGACGACAGAAAGTAAAAAAAAAGTAGAAAAAAAAGTATGAAAAAAAATGAAAGTAAAAAAAAAAGTCTGAAAAAAATGAAAGTAAAAAAAAAATATGAAAAAAAAATGAAAGTAGAAAAAAAAACTAGAAAGAAATAGAAAATCATTTTTTGTTTCTATCCCGCATTCCCATTTCCCCGTGCAAATAAACTTCCGCTAATCACTTCCTGTTAATGGCATTATCTTTACTTTTCCTCTTGGATTCTGTTTTACCACTTACTCTCTCTCTCTTTTGTACCTCTTCTTCTTCTTCTTCTTCTCCTCCTCCTCCTCTTTATCCTCCTAATCATCCTCTTTTTTATTTTCGTTTCTTGCCTCTTTTCTTTCTTATTAATCCTATATTTCAAATTCAATTTCCCGGCAAGCTTTTATAGTTTTCATTTGCGATTAGCAAGCTTTGTCGACTTAAAAACAAATAATAATAATGCAATTATACACGCTACCCTTGTAAAAATGGTCGATAAAAAAGATGTCCATAAAAATTGGTTAAAAGAATAAAAGAAATTACAATAAGACGAAATCTCTTCGGAATTCTTCCTTTTCCTCAACCCAAAGTCTTGAACAAAAATAAAATTAAAAAAAAATGTGACAACTGCTTTCTTTTCAGAAAAATAAGTTTTGGAACGAAAGTTTCAGCTCTGTGCTACCGCGATCAAAAGATTTTAATTTAAGAATAAACGCATCCATTAAAAATATCACAAAGAAAAAATAAAGCAAGACAAAAAAAAAATAAATAAAATAACATCTAGAACACGCCATGATATTTCCTAGGAGTCGAATCATCCACATTTTTTCCGTATTCCGCTTACACAGCTATTTCCCAAGAACAGTTACACTGTGAAACAAATTTAATCACTTCAAGTCATATGTAAATCGCTATCTATCCTCCATATCCCTCCCTATCAACCCCCTCCTCATTCACAAACTTCATTTAGTAACACTCCTAACTTTAGTAGCTCTCGAGCCTTGTATTAGGTGAACTTTACTATCATATGCACACGCACATGCACAAACACACACATATATATGTAGGTGTGTGTATCCATTTCAATATATATATATCCATATGTATGTGTGTGTATCCATTTCATACTATCTATCTATCTATCCATCCATCTATATATATATATATATATATATATAAAATAGCTATTTCAACCAACAAGAAGACTTATATTGGCATTGTCATGTTAGTTGAAATAGCTATTCGAATGAGGTAAATTTGATTTCTATTCTATGTAATTTATTTGCTCTGTTATAAGAAATACATTGAGTTCTTTTTTGGATCAGTTTTAATATTTTTATATTATTAGGATTCACTTGGATTATATACCAACGGATTATTACCTGTATATATATATATATATATATATATATATATATATATATATATATATATATATATATATATATATATCATCCACAGATAGAATATTTCACTCTATCACAGCTCATCAGTGAGTAGACATCCGATTACCTCAGTAGTAGTAATAATAATCTTATAAGTATAAGAAATTATACTAGTCCGGAAAACCTTCTGTGTCTTCATTTCCGAATAATCAAACCAATACCAAAGGGAAAAAGAGGTATAAAAAAAATAAAGAACGAAGAACATGTACGTCAGCCGAAAATAATCGTCTAGTCTCCAAGTCCAAAGTCTAAAGAAAAAAACCCAATACGAGTAAGTAAAATAACTAAATAAAATGCCCAGTACGTTAAGTAGAGCAGACCTAGTTAAACCTAGAGATCCAGACAAACCTACCAAGGTTTCACCTAAGCGGATCGTCAGGGAAGGCTATATATATATATATATATATATATATATATATATATAAATGAAATGTATTAAGTTTGACAATTATTTTTATATATTTTCCGTGAATACGTTATTTTTATAGATACAATTTATTTAAATAAATGTTCTGTTTTTTAATTAAACGGTATTAATTACATTTACCGGCCTGAATTTTCGAGAAATTTCGTAGAAAATATGTGCTTCTCCGACAGGAATCGAAACTGTAATCCCAACGAGAAGCACCATTTGATCTGATGTGCTATTAACCATTTAGCCACAAAATAGCATTTGGTTAGCAAAGTCCACATTACTTTTTATAAACAACAAATCTTCGATGATCATGAAACGTAACTTAACATAAACAACGACATAATATGAAATGGATTAAGTTCGATAATTATGTTAATATATTTTCCGTTTATACGTTATTTTTTATAGATATAACTTAAGTAATTGTAACAACAACGAGTTATCAGTTATCTTCTCTTAATTCATCAAGAACACATGGTACAGTGGATAAAGGCGTTAGTTAGATCCAGTAACAGGATCCAAAGAGTGTGAGTTCAATACCTGGTTAAGGCGGTGGAGAACTTGGCGAGGGGAATTAACAGGAGATAACTGATAAGTGACATCCATTAGTCATGGCACGTGGAACTAGAACAGTCTACCCCAGTGAGCGAAATAAAGGGTTCAGTTCGACATTCCAACCACCTGAAGAAGGCCGAAATGTTGTGATAAATATCGCAACAAAGATGAGGATGATAGTCTGAACAATTTAAATAGTGTACATAATACCTCATCTCAGAAATATAGACATATACTGTAGTAGTAGTAGTTGTAATAGTTCCTAAAATTATATGTAAGTGACTATTCTGCCCATTAGGAATCGAATTGTAAGAAGAATCACTTAAAGACAGCTGATATATGATCATCATTAACAAACGAAAACAACTAAGAACCGGAGAGGATCTCAAATAACAATAATAATAATCTAATTTTGGACAGTCTTTTAAAATATTACTACGGCAATAGAAAAAGGTGCTACATATTTCAGGCCTTGTGCCAGTCTATGATAAGTCTAGCAAATATTAGTAACGTTGTTGTTTGTACTGTTAATAATGCTCAGTCAGTTATGTACCATGCGTGATGCACGCTTAGGCGATCACGTATCTTTCGATACATGACTGACGAGGCAGATTTTTTTCCCGCAGTAGGTTGCTATTTCCTTCTGCAGTAGACTAGTTGCTATCCAAGGCTATAGAACCCCGTCTGACCTGCTTCTGAAGAAGAGGATTCATAACTTTCCCAAGAGTATTAGCACGTAAGTGAATCTAATGAATTCGAACTCGTTTCTCCGATTCCTCAGTTACTTCATTACTCCACCGTGCCTCACATATAGAAAGAGTATTAGCACGTAAGTGAATGTAATGGATTCGGCTGGAATTCGAACTCGGCTTAATGATGCTGCTGTGGTTATTTCCAAGTTGAGGTTAGTATGGTACACGGATAAATGAGAACAGAAAACGGGTGTAAGAAGAATTTATCTCGTCTCTATCGCAAATGGTTGATGTTACGGTTAGAGGTGGGGAAAATGGAAGGGCCTAATCTCTTGCGTTTATGTTTGAATTAATGTCCTTGGGAAAGGTATGAATCTATCGCTTCTCGCCTCCACTCCACCCCCACCGCCTAGCTGGGGGGGGGGGGTAAAAAAGCATGGCACACTGGGTTCTCTAGCTTTATGTTGCAACAAATCTAGTCGAAGGAAAAACCATGGAGAAGGCAACGGGAAACCATTTAATTAAGTATCCTAAGAATTCCTGACAATAATAAAGAAAGGAAATCTGTAGGGAGCCATGGCCGTCCACGTTTTCAAGTGACAGCATTTAGAAAATTGGAGAAAAATACAAGTGGATGGGATGTGTCTCGTTTTGTAATCATCTCGTAAAACAATTTGGCTTTTTTTACTCTAGTATCATCAAGCAATGAGAATGATACAACAATCTGAAACATGAAACTATTCAGAAAAGTGCTGTTGATAAGAAACAAATGTATGACAGTCAGTATACAAAGCCTCACCATCCATTCGAAATAATGCTAAAAGAAAAATATATATATCAAGAACTGCGAAAACAATGGAATATAAGATTGAACGTCATCTCTACAATTGTCGAAATTCTTAGAATAATCTTAAAATCCCTTCAGGGAAGATTAGATCAGAAAGGAATTCGGCTAAAGCATTGCAAATGGCGTATAATCGATACAACAATGATGCTAGAAGTGTCGGAGGCTTAAGAAGACAAATCTTTATTTTAGTCCCACAAATATCTACTTAAAATTCTGTGTGAAAAATAATAATTGCAGTAAAAAAGTAGCAAGTCTCGATTCTTCATCAGAAAAACTACTACAGTAGTCTCTCATTTTTTCATGAATCGCTTCATTCAGACCAGGAGACCAAAAAGAGGTTTTGAAAAAGAAACTTTGACAAAT